TCAAGGTCCAAATCAGAAGCAGAAGGAGAGAGAGCACAAGCAAGGAACTCAGGACCGCGAGGGGTGCACCCATACACGGAGACAATGGGGATGTTCTATCGGGAACTCACCAAGGCCAACTGGCCTGGGTCTGAAAAAGCCCAGGTTAAAACGGGTCTCGCTGAACATAGTGGACAATGAGGATTACTGAGACCTCAAGAACAATGGCAATGGGTTTTTGATCCTACTCTACCTATTGGTTTCGTGGGAACCTAGGCAGTTTCGTGGATGCTCACCTTACTAGACCTGGATGGAGGTGGGTGGCCCTTGGACTTCCCACAGGGCAGGGAACCCTGACTGCTCTTTGGGCTGACGAGGGAGGGAGACTTGATTGGGGGAGGGGGAGGGAAAGGGGAGGCGGCGGTGGGGAAGAGACAGAAATCTTTAATAAATAAAAAAATAAAAAAAATTGAAAAAAAGATACCTGACAGAATGAGAGAAAGTCCCAGACAGATATCTATTTAACACGGGATTAAAATCTAGAATACATGAAGAATCCAACAAATTAATCCTCAAAAATAAACAAACAGATGAATCAAACAGAAAAGAAAGAGGTATTCATGTTTGAAATATTTTTAAAGGTAGATATAGAGTCCATCTCAGTCAAAACAAAACGCTGGTAAGAATATGAAGAAAGAACATTTATTCCTTTATGGTGGGAATTATGATATTTGCAGTCAATGTATGAAGATAGTAATGAAAATTCCTCAAGAAGTTGAAGCCAGCACAACTCTTCTGGTATATGCCCCAAGTACTCTGTATCTAAATACCACAGAGATGCATGCATGATGTCTACATACTATAGGGATACATGAACAACAGATTCAATTATGGAACTAATCATCATAGTCAGGACATGAAACTAAATTAAATGCCAACCAACAGATGAATATTAAAAGAATATGTGACACAGAAAACAGGATTATATTATCATCAGGAAAATGTGTAAAATTGTATCTCATTGTGTTAAACAATATAAGCCAGACCCAGCAAGAAAAAATAGCAATTGTCCCCTTAAATATTGTATAGATATTGATGGATATCTATACAATATATATAATATATATTGTATAGATAGGTTAGATATATATATATATATATTGTATAATAGGTTAGATAGATGTCTTATAGATAATAGATTGGTGTTGGCAGACAGATAGATAATGATACAGATATATAGATTAAAATTATAAATATAGAGATAAATGGGTAAAGGCGATATGGAGAAGGATGACTACCAGGAGGAGGGAAGGGGAAAGGAAAGTTATAATGTGTGATTATTTAACAATGTACAAAGACTTACATGTATGGAAACATGAAAACGAAAGACATCATTGTGTACATTATTTTTCAATGAAAACAGATGCAGCAGAATGGAAAACAGAACCTTATTTTAACTCCTCGTATTGCTATAGCTGTTTCAGATCTTCCAAGAGGACAGGATTCCAAAGTGACAGAGCAGAGTGACTTTAGGCACCTGTGTCAGGCATACGTCTTCATGGGCTACAACAAACTCTCTCTAATAGTTAACCAGTTCAATGTTCTAATTTAAGCCTTTTGTTCGAGGCTTGCCTGAAAAAAAAATAAACAACAAACAAACAATGTGTGGATTGAGACTGTAGATCGATGGGAGAACGTTGCCTAGGTTGTTCACGGCCCTGTGTTCAATCTCTGGCTTCATACACAAAGCATGTTATTTTTTTTTTTTTATAGAGGAAGAGTCGTTCGTGACTGATGAGCTTGATTTTCTTATACACACTACACCACGTTATATGATGCAGGACTAAGAACAATATTATCTGCTGGGGCCTGGGTAGAGATTATGCCCTGAGCACCCATAAAACACAATTTCTGCCACTATTAAAAAGACAAAGAACACAGATGAAACATAAACATTAGACAAACTTTTAATGCTAATCTCTAAAACATAGTACTCCATATTACATTACCCTAGATTTATTGAAACTCAACTTAAACAATTGGATTTTTTATTATTGGTTTTTGAAAAATAAGCAATATGAATACTGCTTGGCTAAATCCTCCTTGCTCTGTTCTGTGATAAACCATGAAAGATAATAAATATTTATTAATTTCAATGACAGGAAATACATTTAGACCTAGAAAATCAATAAAAGTAACCCTTAGTAATTTTCTTAATATATCTAAGGTCATAAAAACTTAGTTCTAATAATTCATTTAAGCAATATAGTTTGAGTTGGAGACAAAAGTCACATACTCCCAGACTGGAGGGATACTTGGCTGGAAGCCACCAGTTTTAGATGATATTTGTGTCTGTTACAGACATAGTACTAGAGGAAAGAGGCCATGGCTTACTCATCAGTATTACATTTTGTGGGGAGTGTGTTTTTGGCTATTTTAAGAAATTTGCTGATGAACATAGAACAGTACAGTTTCATGTGCTTGTATTGTTTGGGATATAAATAATCCAATATTTTGAACCTAAAAATTTTCACAAGTAGAACAGGAAAAATGTATGGAAAAAAGTTACTTTGAAATTATACATATTCTTTAACACACAATAAGAGCAAAGGTGATAAAAAGAAACACTGTAAATACAATTTCATGAATTTCTTGCAGGACAATATGTTAATATATCATAAGATTACATAAACTAATAAATCTTTTATGCCCACAATCACAAGTAGCAATGCTAGAGTAAGGAGAATAAAAAATAGAGAGGAACTGAGCTCATCTGCAGTACTCATGCTGTATCCCTGTTGCTCAAGTCTCAGACCTTACCTGTACAGCCTTGCATGTCTACGTCAGGCTGCTGTGCATAGCATACATCCTAACTGTGAATGACAAGGGAGGATGCTCCTCCAAGAGCACAACCTTTCTCCAAAAGCTCTTTCAGGCCATCTGAGTTTATTTACATATAGACTACACCAAGCTGTTTCTGTACAGACCAAAACAAAGTGGGGAGGAAGCCACTGAACCTCTGATGGTAATCGATTGTTGGGAAGTTTGTTAAGACAACTTTCAAATCAGTTGCTCTGAAACATGGAGACACATTAAAATTCCTTAAGATATAAATAAAAAAATGAATGTAAGCCAATACATAATGATCTAACTGACAAACTATGTGGTGAATTCCTTCAAGTTAGAATTTTTCACATACTATAAAATGATTCTCATGGACTGAATAAGATATACTTACTTTTAATGCGCGTATTCTGTGATGATGTAGCTTAAGCCTCCAAAGAAGGCTCCTAGCTGTGCTGTTTATGAGAATGTAATGCAAATACTTGTTTTAAATTAATAATGACTCTTTTTTTCTATTTTTTTGTTGTTGTAATGAAAACAATTAAAATTTCCTGATTATAAACCAAGCTTTTTGATAATAAACTATTGCTTTCTGACAGCTTTCCCTGTGTGGTCATGGGAACTGCAGACTGAGCTACTCTCTACTGAGAGCTGCCTAATAACCATTCAGTGACTTGGTTGTCCTACATGGGCCCAATGTGTTGAGTATACACAATGAAGTTTAAAGATAATACACTAATAGTCATCACTGCTAACACATGGAAAAAATGTACCTCGCTTTTTGTCCTCGAATCTGGAATCTTGGAAGCAATTGTCCTGGGTGGATGCAATGTCTGTGATGGATTTGATGGGAAGAGATTGAGAGGAGGAGGCTGATCACGGAAAACGGACGTCAAACAGAGTTGTACGGTCTCTTTCATTGCTTTCATCTGTGATTCCTGAGAGCAAAGGGAAATTAATATTTTTACCTATGGCTTTCCCACATTGGTCTTATAATACACTCCCCCCATACAAATAGCGACAGGTTTTCAAATGAAATTTCTTGCTCTGCTTCAATATGATGCCTACAGTAGCTTCTCTACTTGAACACCTTGTGCCCAGCTGGTGGCAGAGTTAAGGCTGTGGAACCTAGGATGAGGGAATGGAACACTGGGTGACAGGCCTTAAGTTAAAATAGCATGAGCATCTTTCTGACCTTGTTTTTGATATCTGATTTCTCTCTTGCTCTCTCTCCTTCTCCATCCTTTTAGCTCTTCCCACTTTCTTCATCTCTTTCTGCTACCTGATTTAGTGAGATTTGATCAAGCATCCCAAGCTACTGCCACTGCATCTGAGAGCCATTCCCACTACCATAGGATGTCTCAGGCATTGTCATGAACTATGAAAGTGGTCCAATACATTGGTATTCATGGTGTCATTTCACATTGTCAACAGTTTGGATACCCATGGAACCCTTCAAACCATGAACTAGACTATGTCCTTCCATCTTTAAGAGGTTTTTCACCAGGTATTTGTTTGCATTGTTGAGAAAAATAACTAAGGCAGAAAACTGATTCCAAGATATGGGTCTCTTGCTGCTGTAGACCTGATCATGTTGTCTGTAAATCTTTGGCTTACAATGTCAGGTAAGACATTCTAAGAAACTGGAAGCCGTATTTGGTAGGTGATTCTGGTGGGAGTACAGAGGATCAGTAGCCACAGAGGGTGAGAAGGATTGTATCAGACATTGATTAAGAGGTTACATATGAGCCAGGCAATGGTGGCACACGCCTTTAATCCCAGCACTCGGGAGGCAGGCGGATCTCTGTGAGTTCGAGACCAGCCTGGTCTACAGAGCTAGTTCCAGGACAGGCTCCAAAGCCACAGAGAAATCCTGTCTCGAAAAACAAAAACAAACAAACAAAACCAAAAACCAAAACAAAACAAAACAAAAACAAAAAAGAGGTTACATATGCTACATCCTGGCAAATTCTCTGACAATGAAATGAGCATAGTGGTGAACTAAAAAGCAGTGGACTGACTGGTTTGATGGAGAACATTTCAAGAGAGCATAACTATCAGGCTGCAGGATGTTGTTCATTGTGCTTAGTGAGGTTTATAATAGGTCTTCAAAGCAGAAACTGGAGCAGAAAGATGTGACATGTAAATAGTTCATGGAGAAAACACATCTGAGTGTAGTTAAAGTGGGTGGTATGGATACCAATAAACTGTAGCTGATAACAATATTGGTACAGTTAAGGTGTGATTGCACACTCTACATGAGGACAATAGGAAGGGATATTTAGGCTAAACCCTCACTCACAGAAGGTTCTAGGAAGAACAGTGTAAAATCATTTGAAAAGAGAGTGTCCCACACAGGGGATTTCCACGTCATCTTTTTAAGGCTGGGGAGATGGCTCAGCAGTTAGGAGTATACACTGTTCCTGTCCAGGACTGGAGCTTGGTTCCCAGCATCAGCACATCCGACTCTGTCTTCTGTCACACTGTGCTTATATATAAAATACCCTGACCCACCACACTTACACTCATAATTTAAAAGAAAAATCAATCTTAAAATAAAAGATGGTCATTGGACTTTGGACTTTTGAACAGTGTTGGACATATTAAAGATTATGTGGTTTTTGGTGTGGGACTGACCTAATTATCAGTATGAGATGGATATAAATATAGAGGTGAAAATATATAATGGAGGGTTTTGATACTGAGAACCCACAGAGAGCAGCATTTTTTCCTGTTTCCATGATTCTTTTTCTTTTGCATTATTCACACTATACAGCTAACAGATTAAATACATAAATCTCTAAGTCAGAGCAATAATTCAGATGCTAAAAGTAATGAAGAACCATGACGTGGTAGTTTTAATTGCTATGATATAGTATGAAAGACAGTGCACATATATTGAATTTTGCTTTAAATTCGGTGTCACATGATGCTCCTGCCTTATCAGAAAATCTCCAGGTTAATATAATCAACTCTCTGTCTTTAACTGTTAAAGGGGTGTAGAGAGCGATTTGTATTCTGCTTCAGGCTGTTCTTAACATCTTCCTTCCTGTGTTTCTTTCTTGGGACTGTACCCTGTACCAGGATCTCCTGTCATATGTTTTGGTACAGTTCTTTGTTGACAGTCTAGATAGATACTACCAGGGACCATGGTGAGAGAATTGTCACCAGAATCAGTGCCTTGTTTTCCTACCACCCCAAGAGCATGCTTCCAACTGAACAAGCTTATTTCTGATGCTGCCAGTGCTTTATTCACACAGGCCCAGGGACAGAATCTGTCATCATTATACTTCTAGGGTTGTCTATACTAGAACTTCAGCAGACTATTTACTTTACTGACGACATGTATAGCATGCTTTCCTCTGGATCTGAAGAACTAATCTTTTTTTCAGGTAACTCTTGATTTACCCTTTCCCTCCTAGCCCCAAACTATATTTCCTATTTGTTTTTCCCTCCACTCTTGAAGTGGTAAATTCTGTAGCTAAAATGCCCCCATTTTTCAGTATACTCCAGTTGTAGCTCAATAAATAATAGCTTTCTGGAAGCTCAGAATTGATTCATAGATCTTGAGATTCTTTTGATTATTTTGTTATCATAAACTCACACTTCATTCATTAGAAATAACATTGAGAACAAATTTGGGATGTGAAGACGTTCTCATAGTATTTACATGATAGTTAAGATTATTTGAACATGAGGCAAAATATATCTCAAAGGAGAGCATGGACGATGTATAAAAAAGTGTTATATAGAAGCAGTGGGGAGAGGTGAAGGACATTTGCTTTAAACTGTAGTTCTTTCCATTATAGATTGAGAGAACCTTTCCGCCTGAATTCAGAGCTAGTTTGTAAATTTCATATGCATCTTGCTTGATATTCGTTAAAATCAATCTCTAATAATGTAAAAAGATTTTATATTTCTATGTACCAAAAAAGAAATGACAGAATTATGAAGTTTAAAGACAAACTTCTCATCATAGAAAAGCAATCTTATCTCACTCACTAATAATACTAACAGATAAACTTTCTGGGTGTTTTCTACATGACAGGCAGGATTCCTGTCAGACTAGTTATATATATAAAAATACAGTCACCCCTCAGCTCTCAGTGGTGTGGCTATGAATTGTAGCACCAGGGAGATTTCAACATGGCCTGTCAATGGAAGTCATCACCTAAACACAGGAGGAGAGTCCCTAGATACTCTGCAGCCACAGCTCCCAGACTATAGCATGCTGTGGCAGGGTATGGGCTCACTGCACAGTGGTGCACATGAAAGAGATGGATAGTGAACCAAGCACATGGCACTAAAGGTGAAGAAACAACTCTGTGATAGCCCGAGTTCTGTCCCTGGGCCATTGCCAACCAGTAGAGTGTGCTGTGGCTCTGGAATTTGGTGTTATCCACAAATACTTGCAATGCAAGATTAATTCTCTATTATTCTATTGTTTTGTGGGCCAGAACGTATTATTTTCTGATTGGTCCATTATATTTGATATCAGAACAAAGACCATGTCTCATACATTTTTTTATTCCTGTAATGTCCAACCTAATAACATCACACAATAGCTATTTTAAAATCCAATAGCCATTATCAGTTAAGTAATTATATCATGTCAGATCAGGAAGACTATTTTAGAAAGAACAGTTCAATGGCCAGAAATGATAGTCTTAGAAGTTGGGAGATTGCCTCAGGACCTTGAAGACTCAATGTCTTCTTAGGATTTAATAGATTTTTCAGAGACAGTGGCAGCAAAGACAGAATAATTTTTTAAATGTGAGCTAGGAAAACTTAAGATTGTATGTTCCTCTTGGTTTTCTAATTCCACTAAATCTACAAAAATCCCACGTCCTTTGTAAAAAGTGACAGAGTAGTAGGTGGAAGAGATGAGTTGAATATCCCTGGAAAAACCTTGAAATTAAATTTTTTATGAAACTAATTTTTGGTAAAATAAATTATGCCTGCTCTACCCCAAAGAATAGAAGTCAGGCTGCCCTGAACTATTAAATGTTGTTGAATTAGGAGCAGCGGGGCTGCGTCCCCGGCACCCAGCTGCCCGCATGGCTAGGTTATGCCCCGAAATAATTACACGGAAACTGTATTCTTTTAAACACTGCCTGGCCCGGCTAGTTCCAGCTTCTTATTGGCTAGCTCTTACATATTGTCTAACCCATTTCTAATATTCTGTGTAGCCCACGAGGTAGATTACCAGAGAAGATCTTAACCTGCGTCTGTCTGGAGTGGGAGAACCATGGCGACTCCTTGACTAAGCTTCTTTCTCCCAGAATTCTCTTCTGTTTACTCCACCCACCTATGTTCTAACCAA